TTTTTTTAAAATTTTTAATGCTTTCCCGCATCTATCGTTTTCCCGCATCTATCGTTTTTATTTCCCACCCCCGCCGAAAACGATACATCGAGGTTTCACTGTATTATTTTTGTCTGTGATGTATAACAAATAGTTGTTAAATTTTGTAGATCCTCCATCAGGCAGTGCAGATGTGGAATGTCAGCTGCTGGAGGCTGCAAAGGCAGGGGACTCTGAGCAGGTGCAACGGCTTCTCACGTCATATCCCCAAATTGTCAATTGTAGAGATCTTGATGGAAGGTATGTGTACAGTAGGGCCCCGCTTTTCGGCGCTCCGCTTTACGGCGATTTGCTAATACGGCGCTCAACAGCTGACTCAGAGAAGTGCATCCGGCACCATTTTATCGTCGCTGATTCAGTCTGTTTACAGCTTTTGTGCGCTCCGCGTCTCCGTATTTCTGGCAATTTTTCAAAGTTATTACAAACTGTATATTTATATAATATTTTTGTGTTACTACAGTGTAATTACAAAGACGTCTAAGGGTAGTAGCGATAAAAAGAGGAGTCGTAAGCCTCTTACTTTAAATGCCAAGTTAGATATAATTAAACTTCGTGGACAAGGCATGTCTATGGCTGAGATAGGACGTAAGCTAATTCTAGCTCTCCAAACTGTTAGTACCATCGTGAACACTAAGGAGAAAGTGTTAAATGAAATTAAAAGTGCCACACGAATGAACTCTAAAGTCATAAGAAAGAGAGATAGCCTTATTGCTGACATGGAAAAACTTTTAGTTGTGTGGATTGAAGATCAAACGCGCCACAATGTGTGTACTACTGATATTCATTTTACTTTCATATCGTTTTCTTAGGCCTAGCGCTATTGTGCACTTACTATATGATAGTGTAAACATCTTATTAGGCTTTGATATGCATTTACAAGTGAAATAAGGCAAAGATCCGCTTTTCGCTTTACAGCTGGTCCCTAACCCGCCGTATAAGCGGTGCCCTACTGTACAGTCTGTCTGCATTATTCAACAGTATTGCATTAGTGAAGTGACTACCTTTGAAAACAAGTTTTCCTTACTGATGTAATGAAACAAAGAAAAATTTATGCACCCTTAAATTCCTTTTGATGTTCTCTTTGCACAATATGTAAAATTGACACATGATTCTTATTTATACATTGACTGCTGCTGTACTTAAATATAACATGAAATCCCTAAACGGTAGCATGAGAAATTGGTAATTACAACATTTATAAACCACACTAAGATGTATGACTTTCTGTGGGAAAAATTTTCCAATATAGTTTGTTTAATAAACTACAAAGTAAAATTATTTGCACTACCTCTCAGTATTGTATCATTGCATAATTTACATAATCTGTGTAATTTGATTAGCATCATCAGCAACATAATTTATGGGTTCTGTCAGCAATAAATTGGGTATGTGTCAAAGAATGCAAGTAATAAATAAAACTGATACGTACCTCAAATCTTAGTATGCTTTTTCTCTGTGATATTATTTACACACTATAGATTTATATAAAATGTTCAGATTGTTTCATACTTGTGATTTATATTGTCAGTGAATAAATGTTATATATTTTCTTTATATTGCTTTCACCAGCAGCTTTTAATAACATTGGTCAACTTCTTCGATATGTTGACAGTGGTGAGCAACTAACTGACAAGCTGCCGTGAGTTGCTGCTGTGCATATATATATATAGCAGCATATTGTGCTGGGTATTGTTGTTGTTTTTGTTGTTGAGGATGTTTCTTGAGAATAGTGTGCTTTATTTTCCTTCAGTGATGGAGCATGTAATTCACTCAGTTTGTAATTGCTGAAACTGCTAGCTTGTTGGGTTTTGTATCATATCTGCATTGTACTTTTGTAATATTACATTTCACTGCTTAAATTCTTCCTCCTTTTTTGTTTTCAGGCATTCGACACCCCTTCACTTTGCTGCTGGCTACAACAGAGTTGCAGTTGTTGAATTCTTGCTTGCTCATGGTGCAGATGTCCATGCTAAAGATAAAGGGTAAATACTGATTATACATTGTTTACTCATAGTTCTAACCACCAGACAAGATCCAGTGACTTTTAAAGAGACAAGATTTAATATTTTTATTCATATCTGAACTGATGAGTATTTTATGCTTTTTGTTTTAATTGCTTTCTCCAGTCAAGGTAGTTTATGTCCTGACAGAGATACAAAGGGGCTTATATAAGATGTAAGGACCTGGTAGATTTAGGGCTTTTGTCCTGTATTGGTACTGCCTCATGGTTTCAGTGAGACTTCCAATGTTTGTGTCTGTACTGAAAACTCATCATTAAGATTGAGTGGACTTTCTTCACTCAAACAGAAGTATGTGGGGCCCAGAATATATAGTCAAGTACATGCATGTACTGTCCCAGTAGACACTCTGATTTTTACATAACCACTGATGTGGCTTTGCCATTCTGGCATATTACCATTGACATGAGCTATGTTATCAACTTCAAGCCCTCTGAAGCCATATAGATCTACATATATCTTGATAGCATAGAATTGGAGCCATGGTTGGTTATTCTTATGGTAGGAGCATAAAGATACAACTCACCAGTGGTGTAAGACAGTGGTGTCTGGACGAGTAATGCCTCCGAAGTCTTTTGGGTCATCATGTTTGTTTATCACAAACTTACTGAATGTGTATATTAGAACTTTAAAGCTAAATGATTTATTTTTTCAGTGGTCTGGTTCCCCTGCACAATGCTTGTTCCTATGGACACTATGAAGTTACGGAACTCCTTGTTAAACATGGGGCAAGTGTCAATGTGGCTGATCTGTGGAAATTCACTCCCCTTCATGAGGCTGCTGCCAAAGGAAAATATGAAATCGTTAGGCTCTTACTGAAGGTTTGTCATAGGCTTCTTAATTCATTTTGTGCAAGATTGTTGATGACATTCAGATTTTGTAAACCTTTTTCTTTGATTATGTACATTTTTGTCAGCACAGTAAAACCTCAGCATAACAAATGTAAATATAACATTTCTACATTCACGAATAGCTATATACACATCCAATGGATGTAACTAGCATCTAGCTGTGTAAGTCTGTTTGAAAACTCCTGGCTTGTGTTTGTTAATTTGTGGCAGTGTCTTGCAGACTCCACTTTTTCGTCAGTACTACTATTTCCTTGTGTCAGTAACACTTTTCTTTCACTGTTAATGAAGAATAATGTGTCAACTACATTCAGTCAGTAGAATTTAGACATACTTGCACACACGATATATTCTATAAAATTATTCTGTATGCAAGTTTCCTTCTGTCCTGTGTGCCTGGTGGTTCCTAGGAGACCATATATAATTGTATACATAAATGTATTCACTGCTGTTGTCACTAGGCAGTTATATATGATTTAGTGTATAAAGGAGTCTGTCTCTTTAGATCGTGATATTTATAAGCCATGTTTTTGCTACCTTTCAGCCACTTAATATTACTGTGAATATTCAGACCACAGAAATGTTTATAATAATTAAAGATGTATAGTTTCTTCTGTCTTATAAATAGATCTTTTTGTGGTGTTAACAGCATGGTGCAGACTCTAGTAAAAAGAACCGTGATGGTGCAACTCCTTTAGACTTGGTACGTGATGGGGATCAGGATGTAGCAGACTTGCTGCGTGGCAATGCTGCTTTGTTGGATGCTGCAAAGAAAGGAAACCTTGCTCGTGTTCAGAGGCTTGTGACATCTGAAAATATTAACTGCCGAGATGCTCAGGGACGCAACTCCACACCTCTCCATTTAGCTGGTTAGTTTTCTCACCTCCTATCATTTTCTTTGAGATTGAAAACCCTGATTTAACATTTGTCCAGAGAACAAACTTTTTTACACTAGGAATGAGTTGTATTGCCAAGCTCTTCACAACTAAGCTGCATACTGCAACTTTTAATCGCTTTTAGAAAGGCTTACATAAGGTGTTTGCAAAAATATGTTATATACAGGTTTTGTTTTTCTTTATAGCTGGTTACAACAACCTTGAGGTAGCAGAGTTTCTCTTGGATCACGGTGCTGATGTGAATGCTCAAGATAAAGGCGGTCTAATTCCACTCCACAATGCGTCTTCATATGGTCACCTGGATATAGCTGCATTGTTAATCAAGTTTAACACAGTGGTAAATGCTACTGATAAATGGGGCTTTACGCCATTGCATGAAGCTGCTCAAAAGGGACGGACTCAGCTTTGTGCATTATTGGTAAGTTGTATGTAGAATACGATTTAGTTTATTTTGCGGAACTGTTACACATGGGTTTGTATTAGATCCTGTATCTTTATGAAAGTTATACATTTCCATGTTAACCTTTAAACAATGTGATTTAACCCTTAATCAGTGACATGCAGTTTGTGAGACTATTCCATAAACAGTATCTTATTTTTTCAGCACTTAATAGTAATTTGTTTAATAATACTCTGCAATTCATCAATATGAAGTGACAGTTTAAATAATAATAATTTATTCCAATTTTTAACATGATATGAAAATAAGAGTTAGTATTAAAAATGAATATGTTTACCGGTAAGTGAAGTTTTGACTTTACATTTAATTTCAGTAATTTGGTATAATTTTACACATTTCTGTTTGTGAAACAAAGGAAAGATAATTATGGGATTTGTGTGGAATTGTGCCAGAACTTTAAGTAGAAGTGTACTGTACCTTAGCTCTCATTTTTCAAATTAACAGCATGTAAGTCAGTTTGCAACATCTAGTAACATGTTGATTGAAAATCCATGTTTGTGTTCTGAGATGAGAAACAATTTTTGTTGCTTACCCAAGTTGCACAACAGTTATTATTCTACATGCAGGGACTGCAAATAGGCATGTGCTTTATTATAGAGTGTTTGATGTTGACAGGAAGCTATAATACGTAACCAGACCAGTCTAAAAGTAACTGGCATAAAGCATGGTTGGGCTTGGTGACTGCTCAAATGCTTCGCTTGTAGATCATGTAGTTTAACTCCAAAGATGAATGCACAGGAAGCAGTACTGACATGTCACCTGTGAAGGGTGATAAAGTAAACCTACCAGCTTAATGAACAGGGGTGTCTATGACTTGACTCAGTTGATACTTCTGATGACAAGGTTGCATTCCAACACACTTCCAAAACAATGCAGACTTGAACTGCTCCTTTTGAACATCTGCATGTGTACAAAGTAACACATGGAGAAACATTTCTTCACTTACTGTAGTTCTTTGATGAACAAGTTTGCCCAATTGCAACTAGATAAAATCAAGTTCTGAATTGTCATGAATCCTGTAAGTACATCAAGGTCTGAGACTGTCATATGAAACAATATCTTCTTCTCTCATTCACACCACATACATGCAAATAATATAGCTCTGAGATGTTGCTGTAAATGCTGTTTTCTTTGAAAAAGTATGTATAGTGAAGATGATTTGATTTAATATCTAAGACTAATTTGATTTTTGACGTAAATATGTCTATACGGAAGGGTCATTCGGCAAAACAGCATTAGGGAAATGTGTAAGATCAACAATGTGTAACAATGCTTTACTCCTTTACCTAAGAAACTAATTGTTATGTCATCTGTTTATTCGGCATTATTGTGTTTCATTACTGCCGTCAATCCACTTTCTTTATTGCGGAAAGAGCTGAGCTGTGAATCGCTTGTAGAAGAAATGTGCCGTAGAGTAGATAATATTGTGCTCTTAAAAACGTTTTAGAATATCACAATTACTTACCTTATAAAAGAATTATTAAGAAATCTGTGATACTGCCCTCCACTCGCTCCTCTTTAGTTTTGATTAAATTGGTCATTGCGGGTGGACATCGTGGTCTCTTACAATTGAACAAAGTTTGAGGTAAGGGATACCTATTTATTATTATTGTTCATCACATTTAATGTTTTCATATGCATTTGTGAACTCGTGTAAGAGAATTAGGCTTGTCTTCTTTTGACGTAAATACGTCTATACGGAAGGGTCATTCAGCAAAAACAGCGTTAGTTACGAAGATGTGTAAGATCAGCGCCGAGTCACCTTTAAACGTTCATTTCTCAGGAATGGTAAGAGTAAGGGTAATGTAACCTATATGTAAAATGATCAGTAAATAAGGACCTTTAAGAATCTGTAATGTATTTTATTGTAATTATAATTCTTTATACATTTATTGTAATTTTAATGAACCAATGTGTACAATTTTCAATGCATCTGGCGTGTTAAGCGCCCGTCTCTCAAAAACCATAAGAGATGGATCTGGACATATTGCATATGAAATATGTATTACCTCTTGAGCTTTCCATATCTGTTCTCAGATTTTACATATCACAAATGGTTTAGGTTCTACAAACATTTATTTATACAAATAAAGGCACACAGCACTTTACGCTACTGCTGCGTTTGTGTGTTGCGTCATACTATGTAGAGATAACAAGATGGATGACATTGAAGCTAAAAGAGTCTGTAATCCAGAATATATGAGACAATACAGAAAACGTAAAAAAAATAGAAGTATTAAATAATGAACCTGAAGTTCCCCAAAAAATACCAAAAACTAATGCTGAACGTATGAGGGAATATAGAAATCGCAAGAAGCAATTATTGCAAGTTATCAAGCTAATATATAAACTTCCTTTCATTGTATTTATTGCCTAAATATAATTTAAATACAAAGACGTATTTACGTCAGATTCTCCGGAACCGTGGTTCCACTGTCAATTTTATTTCTAATCATACAGAAATTGTATCAACTCAGTTTCACCATATATTTGTGTCATATTAACAGAAGAAAATGTGCTTAATGTCAAAAGTAATTTTCATTTTAAGCTTGCCCATGGTGCAGATCCATTTTTAAAAAATCAAGAGGGTCAGTCACCTGTGGACCTGGCATCGGCAGAGGATGTACGTTGCTTGCTTCAAGATGCAATGGCTTCTCAGCAAAATGTTCCCACAGCACCGGCATCTGCTCCTCCATCACGGCCTCCGTCTATCGCTGTGGTTTCCCCTACACCTGCATTGGCTGCAGCCCTTTCCCCACCTGTGGCAACAGAGACAGTTATAATGCCTTCTGGAGCATCAATGACACTATGCATTCCAGTATCTCGTGGTTGTCTTTCACCCATGCCTGCCGCAGAGGGATGTGCAGCAGAACCTGTAAAACCAGAAGGTGGTGTTCAAGACATGGGCAGTGTGGCAACAGTTGCAGGATTCTTGGCGAGGTAAGTAGAGTCCGGTGATTGAGGTAAAGAATCCTGCCAACAACATTTTTAGGTATGTGCAAGACAGCAGTGCACATTGCTTGCTGTATGCATTGGCTTGAAATAATTCCACTCTGATTGAGTAGATTTTTGTGGAATTTGGTGTTGATAGCTTTTGGTGAGAGATACTTTTCAGATGTTGAAGTACTTAGGCTTTCAGCTCTGATCAATCAACTTCACTGGGTAACCTGCATTTGTCTTTCTTGCAGCTATAGAGAAAATAGTTGTACTTTACTTATGTCTGTTTATTCTGCAAGATGAGGTATTTTAAATTTCAAGCAGAAATGTGTGTGTTGGTCAAGTTTGGTTGCCAAATTCACATACATTATTGGCTTGTTTTAGTGTTTCAGTAGTTACTCTGCTGTCTTCTGCTTAAGCTTTACAACTGTAGTTATGGCTGTGTATTGGAAGTTTTATGTACTTTGCGCTGTTTGTCATAACAATAAGTTATGTGAACTTCTGTCTTGACACTTGCATTTCAGTCTTGGCTTGGATCATCTGCTCGATTTGTTTGAACGTGAACAGATCACACTGGATATTCTCGCAGAAATGGGGCATGAGGACCTGAAGCAAGTAGGAGTTAGTGCATATGGCTACCGACATAAGCTGATCAAAGGCATTGACAAGTTATGCTCCAGTACAGGTCAGTCACTAGATACAGTGAAACCTCGATGCATCGTTTTCGGCGGGGGTGGGAAATAAAAACGATGAATGCGGGAAAACGATAGATGCGGGAAAGCATTAAAAATTTTAAAAAAAACAATGTTTCTCTTTCAAAGTTACTTCTTTTTACCAAAAAAGTCTTTAATGGACAACTGGTTTGTCGAAACTTTA